TGAGCGGTGGGTGAGCGGGCATTACCACCTGAGCTCCGCTTCCTGTCAGATCAGTGGCACCATTAGCCTCATCTTATTCTCCCAGTCCCATCGTATTCTTCCAGCTCCTGTGTCTTGTGCTTCTTCAGGGTACAGATTGAACAGTACACTTGTTGGTTATTCATCTACCTTGCCCCCCAGGATTCCATGTACTATTAACCATCTCCATAACGTTCTGTAAGGAAGGTTCCCCTAGTTGCCACTTGACCCTGGCACTTCCAATGATCATTTTATTCACTTGCTTTTGGCTCTTCGGCACCTACAACTTGCCTCAATTGTTTCAATATTCTATTGTCCTTGTCGTTATCAGGGAAACAGTTCTGTGACAGCATCACCTGTCATCACCCTGGCCTACAGAACCCAGACACCACTGAGCCTCTCAGCAAGACTGTTTCCTCTGGGTCCTGTCATTGTACATAGTCAACCTGTGGCCTTTTACCTTCGATATAGCATGCTTTTTTTTTCTGATATGCCCACTTTCCCGAGTCTTTTGATTCCTTACACCACTGTTTGCCAAACCATCTGGTGTTTCTACTTTTTTTTTTTTTTTTTTTTTGAGACAGAATTTTGCTCTTGTTGCCCAGGCTGGAGCCCAATGGTGCGATCTCAGCGTATTGCAATCTTCACCTCCAGGTTCAAGCAATTCTCCTGCCTCAGCCTCCTGAGTAGCTGGGATTACAGGCATGCGCCACCACACCTGGCTAATTTTTGTATTTTTAGTAGAGACGGGGTTTCTCCATGTTGGCCAGGCTAGTCTTGAACTCCTGACCTCAGACGATCCACCTGACTCCGCCTCCCAAAGTGCTGGGATTTCAGGCATGAGTCATCACACCTGGCTGGTGTTTCTATTTCACAGAGTGTTAGCCATTATTTTTCTTTTTTTTTTCCCATTTATTTATTTTATTGCATTTTAGGTTTTGGGGTACATGTGAAGAACATGCAAAATTGTTGCATAGGTACACACGTGGCAGTGTGATTTGCTGCCTTCCTCCCCATCACCTACATCTGGCATTTCTCCCCTTGCTATCTCTCCCCAGCTCCCCACCCCCCACCGTCCCTCCCCTATTTCCCCCCAACTGACCCCAGTGTGTAGTGCTCCCCTCCCTGTGTCCATGTGTTCTCATTGTTCAACACCCGCCTATGAGTGAGAACATGCGGTGTTTGATCTTCTGCTCTTCTGTCAGTTTGCTGAGAATGATGGTTTCCAGGTTCATCCATGTCCCTACAAAGGAGCCATTATTTTTCCTAGGCTTTCCAGAGCCAGCCTACTGGCATATTAGCATTGTCTCATGAGATCTCTGCCATGGTGTTACATTCTGTGCCTCAGAAGAGTACTCCATTATGTGACTTGATCAGCACTCCCTGGACCCAGTCCCATCTTAGTTTCCCAGCTTCTGTGGCCTGTACTTCTTCAGTGTACAGTTGTTTCCCTCCCTTAGGAGGTTTAGCACTTGCACTGTCATCAAAAGCATTGGTGCCAGCATTTAAAGGAAGGAGTGGGCCACTTCTGCAGGCCCAGAGCGCAGAGAACGACCTGGAGTTTCAAAGTTCCTGAGTGCATTGACCAAGATGTTCAACCCAAATTCCACCCTCCTCTTTCTTCCTCATTAAGGCTCTGACCTTGGCATAGCAGACTTGCTGAGGTTGATCATTTAATATTCTCTGGAGTCCTGAGGCTGATCATCAGCTTTGTTCTGTCCTCTACCTACAGAGAAGATGAGAGTCTTTTAAAATGTGATAAAGGGGGCTCTCTGACTTTTACAACTTACCTTAAATTAGTGATTAATCATTCTGATGGGTTTAAACATATCAGCAGATTTTGACATCCCAGCCAGCTGTTGTGGCTTATTCTTAACAAATAGAATGCTGAGAGTAAGTCCTACATGACTTCAGAGGCTAATTCATAAAAGGCAATACAGCTTCCACGTCACTCTCTTTCCCTGCTTGAGACTTTTCTCCCTAAGAATTCAGCTACCAAGGTGAGATAAATTGAAGCAGTCATGTGAGAGGGCCATGGGTAACTGTTCTAGCTGACAGCTAGCATCAAGTGCCAGACCTGTGAGGGAGCGATCCCAGCCTCTGGCATTTAGGTCACCCCCTCTGAGGCTGACTTATGAGCAAAATAAATGTTTTGGTTGCTACTAAGTATTGAGTTGGTTTTTTACAGAGCAATTGATGGCTAGGACAATCACTCTCAACGTTCCATCATATTTCTCCAGCACCTCAGTAGTAGCACTTGGTAACGGCCACTCAGTTCTGCAGGCTTTATCATTGCTATTTTCCTAGTATCTTTTGAATGCTTGAGATATTATACCAGCTAGCAACTTCTCTTCCCTGGTATCCCTTCCCAGTTCCTCATTAGTGAAAATCTTAAAAAATCGCACGACTATAATATATTACATGCCAAGGACCAGGAGGACTCCACCTACTGCCAGAAAAAGGATCTTCATTGTCATCTGGGCAGGGAATGACACAGCTCCAAAATCCCACTTTAAATTCTGTTTCTAAGGACCACTTTACCACTTTTTGACACAGGGTTCCTGGAGATGGGCTCTGAGAAGAAAATTTGTGTACAGAAAGTTTATTGGCAATCACACTCAGAAACAAGACACTTAAGAAAATGATGGAATAAAAATTAGGTAGAGATAGAAGCTGACCTGTGATACATATTCAAATTAAATCTTAGTTAATAGCATGGAGTTCTCTGCAGCTGAGATGGCTATTTAGAATTGTTCTAAATTCAGAAGAGGAGGCTTGGCTTTTGACCCTTATTTCAACATGGCAGGGGGTATGACCTTGAGTGATACATCTCCCAGAGGGCAGCCCCCAGAGAAGGGCACAGGACTAGCCATCAGGAGCCAACACGCCTAGCAGCTGGGTGAATGCACCCCAGAATGGATGCTCTAGAGAGGATCAGGGTGATGCACCACAGTGTCTGCAATAGGGACGATGTCTCTGGTTAGAGAGGATGGGGATGAAATCATGAAAATGGGAAGCTTGGAAATTTTAGGACTGGGTGAAAGGAGGTAGTCAGTGGTTATACATTCTTTACATGATCAATTCATCTCAGATCATGGAATCCCCTGCAGCTAAATTGAACAGAGATCAAACAAATGCATTTTATTTTCTGCCAGCTAATGAATGTTCATGCACATATATATGTAAACAGTGTTTTAATTTATTCTGTCTCCTGCCCTGATAATGCACTACTGCTCTCTGAGCATACTCAAGAGGCATTTATCACATCACTTTTAGAATCAGCTCCTCCAGAAGATTTCCTTTAATATCCTTACTGACTTTTCAAGAGTTCAGCAACAGCCCATTAATTCTTTTTTATCCTGCCCCAAATGTCCCAAATATTTTCATATTGCATTAAAATATTTATCTTGGGCCAGTTTCCAATCTTGCTTGATTCTTCATCTCATCTTGCTTCAAGGAGAAGTTTCCTTTGATGTCAATAGTAAACTACTTTCTTGAAAGGCGACATGTGGTTGTTTAAGAAGATTAGAAAGAAACTTGGTCAGATTGCTCTGTCAGGCTGTCAAGTCTTTCATCTTTTAAACTTACCTCCTGTGAGACCCTCTAACCTGCGTGAATATGTTTTCCATTTTTTTGTGGAGCGTGGTAGTTTTCGTTGTCTTCTGTCCTTTACAAATTTTTTCCCATCGTTGAATCGCACCATGGCCCCAAACATCTGCATTAATCATATTTACCTGAAAGTAATCTTCTACCACATGCTCCCAATTTAGTGTAAAAGTACACAGTAACTTCTGACTAATGGCTGTGTTTGAGATAATTTTTCCTCACTCTTTTATTTTTTAACAAATTTCTACTTATCCTTCCGTAGCTTCTGCAAATACCACTTTCTCTTGTAAAACCCTCCTTTATTTCTCCTGGCAGAATTAATCACACTTCCTTCTGGATACCTCTACTAGTCCCTTTATTCATTCATTCTGCAGGCACTTATTGAAGTCTACTATATGTCACATATTTTACTGATTCTGAATGTAGATATAAGAAAATTTCCTGCTTTTTTAAATCAGCGAAAAAGAAAGATAAATAGTTATTATAATATGGTGTCAAACCTTTGATGATAGAGGAAGCAGAAGAGAATGAGAGAATTCAATTTGGATGGAGTCTCAAAGGGTGAATGATGGTTTTCCAGGTGTAGGGGGCAGGATGGATATTTGGTGAGAGGAAGCAGTCCGATTGGAGCAGGCCTCTTTAGAAGAATTAACTGTAGTTGCAAAAGGCTAGAGCACAATACATGCGGAGGAAAGGTCTACCCTGAGACTTGGAAAGAAAAGCAGATTTCTTCTGAGTCACTTTGGAAGCCACTGAAGGTTTATTCCTAAGAGAGTGACATGATCACATTTGCATATTGTCTGCCTGTGAAAGAGTTAACCAAAGGGGAAGAAAAAAAAATGACCATATAAGCAAGTAAAAGCTAAGAGTAATATTTGTAACAAATAAAATACATTAATTTTTGGATTAATATTCTTAATAAATAAGTAGTCTTAAAATCAGTTAAGAAAAGTACTAGCGTTCCAATGTAGGCAAAAGACAAGTTTTTTGCTTTTATTATTATTTTTAGTTGACACAAATTAATTGTACATATTTATGGGGTATGATGTGATATTTTGATATGTATATGCACACGATGTATAATGATATCCATCACCTCTAACATTATTATGTTTTCTGTGAGGAACAGTCAAAATCCACTTTTCTAGCTATTTAAAAATGTACGATAAATTATTAATAATTGTGGTATATAGAATACTAGAACTTATTCCTCCTCTCTAGCTATAATTTTATATTCCTTAATCAACTTCTGGCTGCTTTCCCCTTCCCCTACCCTTCCCACCCTCTAGTGACTCTTATTCTACTCTCCGCTATGAGATCAATATTTTTAGCTACATAGGAGGGAGACCACACAGTATTTATTTTTCTGCGCCTAGCTTACTTCACCTAACATTATGTTCTCCAAACCTATCCATGTTGCCATAAATAACAGGATTCTTCTTTTTTACAGCTGAATATCAGTAGTATTCCATGGTATATATGGAGAGTACATTTTCTTTATCTATTCATCTGTTGATAGATATTTAGGTGGATTCCATATCTTGGCCATTGTGACTAGCGCTACAATAAACATGGGAGTGAAGATATCTCTTCAATAAACTAATTTCCTTTCCTTTGGATATATACCCAGTAGCAGAATAGCTGGATCCTATGGTAATTCTGTTTTTGGTTTTCTGAGGAACCTCCATAGTATTTTCAATAATGGCTGGACTACTTTTCATTCATATCAACAGTGTATGAGATTTCCTCTTTCTTCACATCTTCACCAACATTTTTAATTTTTTGTTCTTTTGTCTGCAGCCATTCTGACTGGGGTGACATGATATCTTATTGTGGTTTGGATTTATATTTGTCTGATGATTAGTGATGTTGAGCATTTTTTCATATACCTGTTGGCCATTCATATGTCTTCTTTTGAGAGATGTTCATTCAACTATTTTGCCTACTTTAAAATTGTAATTTTTTTGCTGTTGAGTTGTTTGAGTTTCTTGTATAGTCTGGATATCAATCCCTTGTCCTATGACTAGCTTGCAAATATTTTCTTCCATTCTGCAGGGTGTCTCTTCAATATGTTGATTGTTTCATTTGCTGTGCAGACACTTCTGTTTTATAAAATTTTATTTGTTTATTTTCTTTTTGGTTGCCTGTGCTTTTGAGATCTTCTCTATAAAATCTTTGCCCAGCCCAATGAAAGGAAACATACAGACAATTCATAAAACATTAACTATGGTTTTCTTTACATGGTGGAATTATGTCTTATTTTTAGTGTCTTCTGTATCTATTTCTGTACTTTCCAAATTATCTAAAATGATCATATGTTACTTTTAAAGTTCTTTGTTAATGGAAAAAGAATAATTTAAAAGATTATTCTGGTAATGTAGACAAATTTGAGGAGAGTCAAATGAAGGAGTGAGTCATTTTGCAAAGTAATAAACAGCTCAAAAAAGGCGTGGCTGCAGGATGAAGAAAGGGAACCAAACTAAAGAAATGTTTAGAGAGGAAATAAGATATGGTGATTAATAATATTCTGATGTTGTATATATGGATTTGGAGTTTGGGAAAATGCTTATGGATTTATTAACACTGTTGGTTCCTAAATTATTTCAGAATGATCTATTTTTAGGAGACACATCAATAGTCCAGATCATTTTTAGAAATCTGGTTGGAAATTAAGTGATCAAAGATGCACACAGCACATGTGATTAGATCAGTGTTTTCTACAAGATATTAATAGATGCTACAAGATGAAGGATTTGCCTGGACGGAAAATTGAGGAAACACCAGGTTGACAAACTTAATAAATATATTTATGGCATAAAGTTTCTCAGATTCTTTAATATGCTGAAGTACACTATGAATCATTAATAATGGCATGTAGTATGCAGCATTTCTGAAAACTGTTTTACAGTAAGCCACTTTTTTCAGACTATCTCTGGGACAATTTATATAATACCAACCGGAAACCATGGATTACACATTTGCAAATGTATTTTAAATGCAGCATTTTCATTGGATCTAAAAATAATAAAGTAAGAAGAAGCAGGGACCATCTATTATAGTGTACACAGTAGTAAATCTAAAGAAGGCTTATATCAAGAGAAGCAAGATGGTTATCAACAAAGCATGGAAATACAGACAAAAGAGGAATAGTTAAGAATTCACAAGGGAAAAGAATGCCATGGCTTTCTCAGTGGACTTGCCCGATATAGTCTCTAGAATTTCCCTGCTATAAGGATGGATGCAATATCAGGCTATCCCATTAATTAAACCTGGAGTCCGTGTGTAGCAACATCTCTCTTTATAAATTAATACATTAATAAATTAGCATTCTCCTTGTATGTAATACATACTTACACACTTCTCCATGAATTATGCATGCATGATTAAATCAATTGACCTTGATTCATTCTGGGGTTTGAAAACTGAGTTTCTGGATTTACAAAATGATGGTCAAACAATAAAACAATTATTTATTTATTTATTTATTTAAGAGACAGAGTCTCTCTCTGCCACCCAGGCTGGAGTCTAGTGGCATGATCATGGCTCCCTGCTGCATCAAACTCCTGGGCTCAAGCAATCCGCCCACCTCAGCCTCATAAGTAGCTGAGACCACAGGTGTGTGCCACCACACCCAGTCAATTTATTTTTTTTATTTTAGTAGAGACAGGGGTCTCATTATGTTGCCTAGGCTGGTCTCAAATTTCTGGCCTTAAGCAATCCTTTCACCTTGGTCGCCCAAAGTGTTGGGATTACAGGTGTGAGCCACCATGTTTCATCAATAAAACATTTTAAATCTTCCAAGATAATTCAACTCACTTTCCTCTGCCAGCACCCTCTACTTTCCCATAGACTTTCTTCTGAACTTCAACAACATCTTGGGGTAGAGCTTTTTCACCTTGATATCACCATTTTGTAGAAAAGTGACAGACACAAAATTGCTACCAGAAGAACACAGCACTTCATTTGTCATGGAAAATTGTAGCAAGAATAATTGTAGTTGTTGTCTTTAAGAGTCTTGTCTGTGATGAACGCCCAGTGATAGGGAGCTCAAACCACGAAACATAGGATCCAACTATTCCTTTTAGTCAGGATATTTCTTGGCTACCTCTATAAAGAGTATGATCCTATTTCTGGGTTGTACCTGAATTATGGTATGAGTCTTAAATAAATAATGAGGCTGTTCTTTGATACTGTATTTGCCTTTGATTCATCTTTTAATAATCTTCACTTTGTTAACAGATAGATGCAGCCAATGGCAGGACAAGGAAAGTTGCATTTGCAGTGCTTCCAGCTCTCAGTTCAGCCATTGCCTCAAGAATGCATGATGAATGTGTTGCTTTCTGTTCTTGTTGTAATCCCTGTCATGAGAGCTGATTCGTGTTTTTCTGTTCTGCATTCTCCTTGTATTCTCTGTCTTGAGGAGCAGTGGTGATTTGTTTTTTTTCAAAATGGAACACGAGCAGCTATGCACTTTTAACAGGCTGGTAAATAGTTTTATTCCACTTGGTAAATATTTCCTGCTTTGAGTGACTGTCCATTCTAGCTCATCCCCATTCATGTAGCATGAGGAGAGGTGAGATCTAGGTGAGCTGGAAATAGACAATGCATCCACACTTAAAAAGCTGAGGTCAAATCATTACAGTTTATTACCATCACGTTCCACAGAATATATGAACCATTAAAATCCTAGTATTGTACCATATTATTGTGACAAAATTTGTAATGGGAACAAGGAATGAGCATATCCTAATGGTACTGGTGATATCATAAGTAAGAAATGGTGCAAACCAAGCCTATTCTTTCCATAACATTAAAATGAAAAACCAGTGCTCCTGATTTAAAGCCCAAGGCTCTAGCTATATATCAGAAGGAGTAAAAATAACACCAGAATGATAAATAATGTCGTATTTTCGTGGACAATGGGGGGTGATTAATTGTTCTTAATCCAACAACATGATAACTATTTTTAACTTTTTTTGCCAAATTTTGAATGTGTCTCTTCCATTTCTTGTGTTTGCAATACAACAGTAGTAAGAATTTGTGCTATATATACTATATTTGTTAAACGTTCAGTCAGACATTGGTGTCAGAAGCCTAGTTCTGCATTCACTAATGGTCCAATCCCTGCATTACTTACTCTGTCCACATCTCCATTTCCCCATCTGTAAACTGAAAGGAAGAAGATACCTACTTCAAAGGGTTTCTGTGAAATTAAATATAAAGCATAGATCATAAGGACTGAAATAAGCAGCAATTATTATTAGTAATAGCAGTCATAATGTAATGGGGGGATGCTTTCATCATTTTCCCTGCTCAGTAGGCAATTTCAAGGCAGTTTTATAGGGTTGCACTTTGCTCAAAGGCAGTATTTACCCTTCACACCAAGGGGTCCTGACCTCCTCATCTTGTTTGGAAAGGTGGAGTATGTAAGCATATTGGCATATATGACAGATATTGCCCACATGAATGGGTCAGATGGTGAGCTGGGCAAGCTTCCAGAGCTCAGTTGAGGCTAAATCCCAAAGAGGCAATTGATGAGCCAAGTGCTAACTCCTGAAGCCCAGTGGTCCTAAGTGGCCAATAAGACCAGCGTACTGTGTTAGATTGCACCTGCCCCTGTGGTCCTGCTGGTGAGGGATACTCCAGCCCTCAGTGCCCTCTTGCCCTCTCACATGCTGCCTTGTACACAAAGCCTCCCCTCTTCCACACTTCTTTTTCCTGCACTGCAAAAGTCATTTAGCTTCTCGGTATGGGAAAATATTACTATTGAAGTATACAACCAAATATTTATTTCTTTTAGGTCAGATAGCTATTTGCTTGTTCATTTGGTTTTATTGTTTTGCCTTACCTTTGGGCCCTCTTTTCTGACTCTGCTGTGAATGACTGCAACAGATTTTGGAGGAATAAAAAAATTTTCAGTGAACTCAGGGACGTGCAAAAAAGCTCCATGTTTATACTTTAAATTTGATCTCATGATAATAAGAAAGAAAGATTTGTACCTTCCATCCAAATCAAAAACCAAATATAAATATCCTCTTTAACTTTTTTTTTGGTATTTTGACATATTGACAACCCCTTGCAACAGGATTTTAAAATAACTTTTCCACCTAATCTTATGAGTAATACATGCTCATTGCTTCTTAATTTGAATCCCCCAAAGCTGACCCTGCTGCAAAATTTGAGACGCAAGTTGTTCATTTGGAATGTGGTCTTGGGAAGTAGGAGTGATCCTGAGGGAGTGGGGGAAGAAAAGGGAGGGATCCCAAGTTGTTTATTTGGGATGTGATCTTAGGAAGTGGGAGTGATCCCGAGGGAGTGGTGGAAGAAAGCCAGGAAAGGGAGGGAAGCCAATAAGGACTGTGTTCCTGAGTCAGTTTCTCATGTGGGCAACCGGACTGAATCTCACTGAGGACTCTCCCAGAGATGGTATCAAGTCTCAGAATCATT